CGGACCTGGCACCAAGTGATTACCACCTGTTCCTGTCTATGGCGAATGATTTTGCTGGTGAAAAATTCGCCTCAAGAGAAGCTTGTGAAAATCGACTGTCCCAGTTTTTTGCCAATAGGGACAAGGGTTTCTATGAGAGAGGCATAATGGAATTATCTTCAAAATGGCAACAAGTTATCGAACAAAACGGTGCATATTTGACCTAAATCCGATCATTCTAACTATGCTAAATAAAACTTTCAATTTCATGCAAAAATAATGGATTTCTTTTTATTACACCTTATATGTGATCAATAAATTGGTTTTGTGTACGTGTGTGTCAAGATATGTTAAGCAATTGGAAAGCACCCAATACCATATATGTATTTGTTAGATCTGTGGTTATTTTTTAACTTCAGGAAATTAAAATGATTGTGTCAAAGTGTAAAGTTAAAATATATTTTATAAGTAGAGAAAATAATACAAGATATATAATTTTTATAGTTAATTTATACGGATCATTAATCGATACTAGGATATTTATTTGTCTTTATTAGTAACAACTTGAATAAAATATAACATAAGATGATATAGAGATTCCTATTTCTAAAAAGAATTATAGAGAAATAGCATTAATATTGTAACTTGCTCTCTATAATTTCTTAAATAGTACAAATATATGAGTCATTAGCTTACAAATTTTTATACTTAAATCTGTAGTGGCTTAGTAATGCATTCATGATTTTGTATTGATTTGTGATATTTGAATAATAATTATTAGTTATCTTTTTATTAGTAAATTCATATATGTTTTTTTATCTTTATTAGGTTAGGTTTGATCATTAATTGAGACATGACGACACTTTATGACATAAATTGCGACAAAATTAAACTGTCATTTCATTAAATTGTATTTACAAAGGAATCTCGCGAATCCAATAATTCAGATTTTAATGAAACTTTGCACAAATGTAGGCTAAGTAAATAGATGAATTTAGATAATTTCAGTAGGTGCTAAAAAACAGTTTGAAGGAGTGGAAATTTTCGATTTTTTCAAAATATTTCGTAAACTAAATAAACTATCAAAAAATGTTTTATACAGAAGTTTTATAAAAAAATTTTCTATATTTAATTGTGACATTCATTTTTCGAAAAAAAAATATATTTTTAAAAATTCACCCTTTGTACTCTTTATGTAATACATTATCTATCGTGTTAAAATTCTGATTTTAATAAAACTTAGTATAAAAATGTAGGTTAAGTAAACTCAATAATTTATAAAATTTTAGTTGATGTTAAAAGACACTTTGAAAACGTTTTTTGTGAAACCAACCTTTAAAAGTACAAAGATTTTTTATTTATTCAATATATTTCGTAAACTAAATGAAGTGTCAAAAAATTTTTCATACAAAAGTTTTATAGTAAAAATATTTTTATTTAATTATGCTACTCATTAAAAAAAAAGAACAAAAATTCATCCTTTTAAAAAAACAAGAATTTATCCTTTTTTAAGAATTTATCTTTTGTTTCTATAAAGTGTATCTATTATAATATAAGTGTATTTTATTGTATCAAGTTAAGTCATATTATATTCTATGTGTATCCCTATTTATAATTATATTAAAGCATAAGAAGGTTCATTGTTCAATTATTAGCTCAACAGGTTTATGTATATATAACACCATTCTTACACTGTTCATACATTTGTTACGTAAAATAAACAATATATATTGTCAATATTAAACATCAAAATGATAACTGCATGATAATTAGAAGCTATGTGATTATTCTTACATTGCGCATACATTGTTATATAAAAGAATAGTTTACTAATATAATAAAAATGTAATGTGTTATATATACAACACATTGAAAACCTGTTGAGTTAATAATTGAATAATGAACCTTCTTACGCTTTAATATAATCATAAATAGAGATACACATACAACATGACTTATCTTAACTTTATAATAAATTAAGTCATATATCATAATATTATAACGCAATAGATACACTTTCATATAGAAACAAAGGATGAATCCTTAAAAATATTATTTTTTCAAAAAATAAGTGATATAATTAAATAAAGGTATTTTACTATAAAACCTTTATATAGAAAGTTTTTTGACATTTCATTTAGTTTACGAAATATATTGAAAAAATCGAAAACCTCTGTATTTTTAAGGGTGGTTTCAAAGCGTCTTTTAGTATCAACTAAAATTTTATAAATTATTGACTTTATTTAACTTACATTTTTATAGCAAGTTTTATTAAAATCAGAATTTTAACACAATAGATAATGTATTAATGTTAATGTACATAGGTGATACAAAGGGTGAATTTTTAAAAACATTTTTTTTTCTAATGAATGACACAGTTAAATAGAAAAAATTTCTATGAAACTTTTGTATAAAACATTTTTTGATATTTCATTTACAAGGAGATGCCACAACCTACTAAATCGATTTCTGAACGAGACATAGCACGTTCGCTAGCTGTGATGTTAAACATCAACATCCTAATTGAGGTTTGTGCCAATGGGCTTTTGTTTGTGAGAAATTACAATACAAAGTTTGGGTTGCGGGATTGTATCACGGATATGGCTAAAAATATGACTGTCTTTCAGCGA